ATCATTCATATCATTAATTTGTAACATCTAGTTGCAACGCCCTGAAGGGTCGAGTTAGGTACTAATTTTGAATTATTATTATCAACACGAACAACTATTAATCACTATCTAAATCCCATTAAATATATTAATACAATAGTAATATACAAACGTTTGGGTATACTTGTAGGTTATATATTTGCTTGTCACTTGTATGTTTGCTTTATTCATTTATAAATTAATAGTAACTGTAATTTCAAATTAAATCACAATTCATTATTTGTGTGATTCTCCATACGAAGTGGTAACTTTTGACTATAGTTTTTTCTAAAAATGTTAATATTTTTGAAAAAATTTTCGTTGTAGATCTTTATGATAAAGCTTGAAAATAATTATTTTGTTGATATTTGAACTTAAATGTATATTTTAATCTTATATAAACAATTTTGAAAAATTTCGTTTAGAGGTTAAATAATAAATTAAGAAAAATAAAATTTTGTCTATTAATAATATAAATAGTGTAAAAAACAAATAAAATATATTCCAATCAAGCTTATTAATCGACAATTAAATAATATTACAAAACATTTCAAAACAAAACAATTTTTAACAATTTTGAACGGTAGAAAAAATAAATTTTTAAATAAAAATAAACACTTACATAAAATACAACTTTTTAACTTAAGGGCATTTGAACCTTGGTGACGTCACACATGCTTTGCACAAACTGTAACGTCATCAAGGTTCAAATGCCCTTAATAATATAAATTGGAAGTAAAAACGAACTGAAAATGTGAAAAAAAGGAAAACAAATGAAAATGTAAACTCCACTTCCAAATAAAAAAATAGCGGGGAAAGTATTAAAAAAATATTTTTACACAAATTTATAAATGAAAATTGGAAAACAACACAAGAAAACTTACTTTTTGAGAATAAGTTTCGAATATGAAATAAATAAAAACAAGATTAAAATAGGCTTTGTGTAAAATAAATCATATTAAACTTCATGATTCTTGTGTGAAGAATCGAGGAAAGTACACTTTTTGGGTCGTTTCCAATTAAGTCAACTTTCTTTTCAAAGAAAAAATTTATTTTTCGATTATAATATTACTAAAAAACATTTTGAATATTAATTTTGTGGGAAAGTTGAAAGCAGATTTGAAAATAATTAATTTAATTTAATTTAATTACAAATATTTTAAAAATACATAAATATTTTATAGAGACTGAAAATATTTGAAAGTATAACGTAAACGAAAATAAAGACAATTTCAGATAACAGAAAAGAAATTATTCCTACAAATAGGACAACCTCGAATTAACAGGGGTCAACGAATAAATCGACCTTTGTATATATACGTACATATACACATGTATACATATACACACGATTTTATAATCACGTCTCGACGGAATTGCCAGTAAGCGTTTTCATGATTTTGCATTTTAAACGAATCGATTCCTAATAAAATTTGATATCGCGCATCCATCTCTTTAAGATTATTGACAATGCGCGCCACTCCTTTTGCCGAATTTCATTATTCCCATCATTTGCAATTTTATTCTCATTTCTCAAGACGACAATCATAACGCTTATCTTCAATCGTTACCATTTCCCTCGGATTTCAATTTTTTTAACATTCTTTTTTTTTTTATTTCTTAAATTCAATATAATTTATTGGCAACATCGGGGATTTATTTTTTTTCAATATGTATTATATTATTATTAATTTATTTCTGGAAGAAAATTAGGTGCAATTTTTATAGGGATTGCTGATTTTAATATTCTTTTGTGAAAATTTTGTGTAATGAAATTTTTAAAAATAAAATTTATAAAAATTAAAAACAAAAGTTAATTGAATAAATAATTATTAATTGTTTGTTATTAAAATTGAGGACTTACGGCATTAAATTACTAAATAGTAAATAGTTGTAAAAAAATATTTGAACATTAAAAAAATATGGTTTTTTTCGGTTATAAAATGGGACTAAAAACAGTATTAATTATTAATAAATTTATTTAAGAACCGTTTTTTTAATAATATTGATAATAGTATTCAGAAGCCTTTTACGATATTAAAAGGCCTCTGAATACTATTATCAGTATTAATTATTGTTTACTTAAAATTGAATAATGATTTTCTAAATGCAGAAAAAAAAATTGTAAAATCGAATAATATAGTCAGTAAAAGAAGATTTAAATCTCTAATAATGTAGTAAACGATTCAGTAACAAAATCAGTAGTAAGAGTCAATAGAAAGTCAGACAATGATTATTGTATTATAAATTTTTAGTCAGACACTTCTTTTGTATTTTGTATATTTGAAAAATAAACGTAGTTTTTATTCTAAATGTTTAAATACTGTACGTTTTTTGCTTGCAGTAGTAAAAGGCATTTTCAGTCAGACAACAATTTTTTATTATTTTTTATTATTCATGTCTGACAAGGAGAACTTCATTGGAATTAATACTAGAATTCAGTAGTAAAAGTCGATTTCAGTCAGGCATCGTTAGCGATTTACGTATTTTATTTTTACAATAATAAATAGTTTCTTGTCAAAATCTCTAAACATTTTACATTTTTCATTTACAGTAGTAAAAATTATTTTTAGTCAGACGGAAATTTCTATCGTTGTTATTTGCTTTGTTATTAGTTTCACAGTAGAACAAGTCAATATTTGGTCAGACACGTCTCTTTTAAGTAAAATTAGTGTATTTAGTAAGCAAATTTATATTTTAAGTCAGGAAAAAACTAATTAGTTTGGACTAATTCTGAAATCAAGTAGTACAAGTCGACTATAGTCAGACAAGATTGTATCTAAAGTCTCAAATATTTTCGTTTTTTTCTGGAGCAGTAACATTCATTGTACGCAGGTGATCAATTTCTTTTATTGTTTTCTAATTTTCTTTTTTAGAATTCTAATTATTTTTGAAGTAGAAAGAGTCAATTTTTACTCAGACTCCACACATTTAAGTGTCATTTCTCAGTATATACAGTTATTAGTTATTAACAATATAAATTTAGAAATTTCTAAAGAAAAAATAAATTGACACCAAAAAATTGAAAAACGACTATTTATGGCAGACAAGCAGAACTTCACTAGGAATAATAATTTTAGAATCCAGTAGTTAAAGTCAATTGCAGTCAGACATCATTGAAGATTTCCGTATTTTTCATAATAATAAACTGTTTCTATTGTGAATATCTGTAAACATTTTACATATTTTTCATTTGCAGTAGTAAAAGTTATTTTTAGTCAGACGGTAATTTTATATCATTGTTATTTGCTTTGTTATTAGTTTCACAGTAGAACAAGTCAATTTTTGGTCATACACTATTTTAAATGGAATAATTTAAGTGGAATTTAAGTGGATTTCTAACGATTTTAAATTGAGACAAACAATGTATCAAAATTTTATATATTTAAAAAAACTGTATTTGTGAATAATAAAAAATTTGTAGTTCAAGTTTCTAAATATTTTAAGTTGCTTTTTCTTAGTAGTAAATTTTTTACTATTTTAAATTTTTAAAATTTTTAAAATTTTTACTCTCTAAATTTGAATCAGCGATTTTCCGCTGATTTAAATTTACCGTTTAAAATGTTTACCATTCTGTTTATTGCAATTAATTTCGCAGTAGAACAAGTCAATTTTCGGTGAAACACGAATGTATTTAGTGCAATTAGTGTAATTAGTATAATTAGTAGTAAAATACAGTTTACGTCAGACAAGCAGAAGTTCATTCAGTCTAGTACTGAAATCATGTAATAAAAGATAATTTCTCTCAACACAAAATTTTTTTTTTATATCTTACAATAGTAGATAATTTTTATGCGGAAATTCTAAATTTTTCACGCATTCTATTTGTATCTTGTAGTGGTGGAAATTATTTTTAGTCATACGGGACATTTTTAACATATTATTTGCTTTGCGATTAGTTTTGCAGTAGAACAAGTCAACATTTTATCAAACAAAACCATTTTAACTGAAATTATTAAAATCAGTAGTAAAATACGGTTTAAGTCAGACGAACAGAAGTACATTCGGACTAATACTAAAATCCATCAATAAAAGACGATTCCGGTCTGACGATAATTTTGCATTTGCATTTTTTAATAGTAAACAGTTTCTAGTCAGATTTTATAAATTTTTTTATGTGCAATAGTAAAATTTACTTTTAATCAGACAGTAAATTTTTTTATTCTTCTTTGCTGTACGATTAGTTTCGCAGTAGAAGAAGTCAATATTTGATCAGACAGAATTATTTTTAAGTGCAATTAGTGTATTTCGTACAATGGAACAGAAAATTTATTCGATTCAAATAAACGATTACTTGACTGTTTTATCAATTAAATATTTACTTGAATTAAACAATTTTTATTTGAGTCAATTTAATAGTAATCGATTATTTGTATCAAATAAATTTTTTTTCAGTTTAGCAAAATACAATTTAAAATACAGAAAAAGCAGGAATCTTGAAAGTATTAATTTAATTAATAATAATTAATAATAATAATAATAATTAATAATAGTAATAATAATAATAATAATAATAATTAATAATAATTAATAATTGATACTAATATCAATTGTAGATAAAAATTTAGATCAATTTTTATTTGATCTGCATTCAACCTGTTTGAACTAATTTTAGTATCAAATAGAAAAACAGTATTTGAGTCAGAAAATCTATTGTTGTTTTATTTTAGCAGTAGAACAAGTCAATTTTAGGTCAAACATGAATATTTTTTCTAACAATTAGTGCATTCAGTAGTAAAATAACATTTAAGTCAGACAAGCAGAAGTTACGTCTTTCATTTGCAGTAGTAAAAGATTTTTCTAGTCAGACGGTAAATTTTCCATCTTCCTCTAGTGTGTGATTAGTTTTAAAGGGGAACAAGTCAATTTTTTGTTCAGACAGAACTTATTTTAAGTGAAAATTACTTCATTTAGTATCGTAAAATATACTTCAAGTCTTATGGAAAAAATAATAATTAAGGAATTTTTAATCTTTTTTCTAGGTTTTGACAAGTATTACAACAATTTGCGTCCACGAATGAACGACGAGTGCGGAAACCAAGCGGAGCAAAATGTCGAACATCCAACGTTGCCGGGAAAAATAGTAAATTGTCGAAATCTTTGGTTTCGCGAATTTTGGCAGCAGCATCATCGATGTTCTTTTGGACCGAAAAAAGATGGAAAACCACAGTGCACGGGCAAGGAGCAATTACGAAATTACGAGCAAGAAGGATTGGTACCTTTTGTTGGTAATTCATTCATTTTTTTCCTAAAATTATATTATTTTCACTTTCTTTTAATTTCATTTTACTCTATTTATTTTTTTTCTTGTTTTATTTATTTACTTATTTATTTATTTGCATATTTAATTATTTACCTATTCATTTACTTATTTATTTTTCTATTTATTTCCTTATCTGTTTATCTATTTATTTATATACTTATTAATTTTTATTTACGTATTTATTTAATTATAACTATTTGTCTGTTTACATATAAATTTATTCTCTTATTTATTAACATTGTAATATTTACTCGAATACCAATTTATTCATTGAATTCCATAGGAAACGTAAATTTTCCACTGAATTTGAAAAGGGCATTAATAATCGAAAATTTAAAAACTAAAATTTTTCATGTTTTATTAGGTTTTGATAAATATTATAACAATTTACATCGACGAGTGAATAATGAGGGTGGATATAGAGCGAAGCAAAATTTTCAATTATTAAATATCAGAAAATCAACGAAAAATTTGAAAAATAATTTACAATGAATTAATCGTTGGCAAATTATTTATTAATTAAAATCGTAACAAAAGGTTTTAACCAAAATAATTGCCAACAAATTTATCAAAAGGCAAGAAAGAAAACGTACTCATTAAAATTAAAACAAAATATTAAAACATAATTCCAAATAAATAGAACAAAACATAAAATTTATTGAAATTTAAAATAAAATAATTTCTAATCGAAAATTACAATTTTGTTATTTTATTAAAATCAAAAGAGAAATGTAAAAAATAATTTTTTTAAAATAATAATTTAATAATTTAATAATAATTTTTTATTGGAAATAATAAACCAAACATTTTTTATTTTTTTCTAAAAAATGGAAAATTTTCTAGTTTTTATTCGTTCTATTTTATTTTTATTTACATTTTGTTTATTTTATTGTTATATAATTTTTATTCAATTAATTAATAATTTACATATTTAACATATAAGTATAGATAAATTGAGAAAAAGAAATAAGTAAATATAACGAAAAAAAATTGTATCAAAATTAAAAAGAGATTTTTCCCAAACGAAAGTGCAATAATTAATTTTAGTGATTGATTCGGAATACTTAATTTATTTTTACATAATCGTCTGAATATTTTATTCACCTTCTTAAATTAAATATATATCACTCACACTTGAGGAAAATACATTTTCCAATTACTATAAAATTTACGTCATTTACTTGGTTTGACTTCAGTGTGCGGCAAAAGTTTACTGCGTAATTTCAATTTTGTTACCCTGTTTTCGTCCCAAGAGTTTTAGCACACTTTGCTCTGTCAACCTATATATATATATATATATATATATATATATGGTTCACATTTTCGAATCGGTAGAGAGAAAGGTTATTCACGATTCTTGAGTGGCACGTTTCAAAATTTTATGTTTCGCTTTATGACTGCCAAGGTGTCACGCCTTTAGAATAAGGTATTCATTAGACTTAAGATCACAGCTGTCGCGGAGATATTTTATGAAGAGAATTTTTCACAAGAGGAGTAGAAAAAACTATTTTCTCTCTCTCTCTCTCTCTTTCTAAAGAATTCAAACAGTAAATTCTTTTTAAACCTTTGTTTTAACTGATCTTTTATCTCTTAATCTTTATTGTTAATTAATTAACTGGTATTTCTAATTTTTTAAATTCTTTACGAAAAATGTAAGTAGAAATAAGATTTTTTTTATTTACATTAAGAATTTTCTTCTCTAGTTGTAAAAAAATATTACGAAAGAATAGAAAAGAATAGAAAAGAATAGAAAAGAATAGAAAAGAATAGAAAAGAATAGAAAAGAATAGAAAAGAATAGAAAAGAATAGGAAAGAATAGAAAAGAATAGAAAAGAATAGAAAAGAATAGAAAAGAATAAAAAAGAATAAAAAATAGAATAAAAATAGAATAAAAATAGAATAAGTATAGAACAAAATAAATCAGAAAAAATGTTTCTATATAAAATATTGTAAATTCTTTTCTTTTTCGTAAATTTCTTTTCTCTGAAAGAAAATAAAATTTGTATATTTTTGTCATTTTATTAGAAACATTCTCTCTATTTAGTGTTAAGGAAAAACAACTTTTCTTTTTAGCAGTGAATTTTTTAGCTCTACATATCTACACCCGCGCCCGGATTCTTTTCTTCTCTCTTTTTTTTCACATGAAAACGCTTTGTCTACCCTTATCTCTTTCTTCTTTTGAAAAGCTCAGTTCTTCTAGTGATCATTATCGTTCTCGTTGTGTCTCGAATTTCCCAGTATTTCTCTAAACTATCCTCCAAAACCTTCTTTCGTCTCTCTCTGTCTCTCTCTGTCTCTCTCTTTTTCTCAACTTGACACCAATATTTCCACATCCTTTATACATTTTATTCCTTTCGAATTTTTTTTCTTTCTTTTTTTTTTTTTTTTTTGCTTCAAGCCACTTCTATATAACATCCTTATCCAATTATCCTTTAAACTTTCATTCATTTCGTCGTTTTTATATAAAGACACTATTTTCTCTTCTCATTATTTTCGGCCATTGATAAATTTACTCCCCAAGTGAATTGATGATCCAAGAAAAACATCAATTTTTCTCACTCGTAAAATTATTTTTTCAGACTATTTTTTTTTTATTTATCAAATAATTATTTATTACTGGAAAATATTATGTGGACGATAAATGTTTTACTCAATTTACTATAATCATGCGAATTACAAAATTTTTCATTTTTAAATAACAACTTTATTTTTTAAATATTTTAAATGCAAAAAAGATTTAAAATTGCAAAAAATCACTTAATAATAATTAAGTAATTAATTGATTACTATGATCTATTATTTTCAAAACTGTTAATAAAAATCTTCGAAAAAAATTAAACAATTTTTATAGTTAATAACATTTATCAGAGGAGTAGAATTTTATTCAAAAATTTTAATATAATTTTTCGACAAAATTCAATTATTTATTTTTGAAACATTAATAATATTCTTTGAAAGAATTCATGAATTTCAAAAAAAAAATTTTTTATTTTTTATAAAAATTACATTCTTTTTAGTTTAATAGATCATTATAATTAATTTCCTAGACAAAATTGAATTACTTTAAAGAATTTCAAAAAATTTATTCAAAACAATTCAATTATTGTCATAACTTTTCTAAAAATCCCTCGCAAGAGTTCAATTACTTTTTATAAAAATAATATAGAATTCTTCAGAGGGATTCAATTATTTTCAATACAATTTATATAAAATTCCTCAAAAAAAATTTAATTAATTTCAGAAATGTTCATAAAATTCTTCGCACTAATTTAATTATTCTGAAAATTTAGTAAAATTATTGACAAAATTAAATTATTTTTACAAATTATTTTCAAGTATTTTAATAAAATTCTTTGCAGAAATCCATTTATTTTAAAAAATTTCAGTTAAATTCTTCGAAATAATTTAATTGTTTAAAAAATTTTGATTAAATCCTTTATAAAAATTCAATAATTTTCAATATAGTTTTAATTAAATTCTTTTAAAAAATTTAATTATTTTCCACAAATTTAACAAATTCTTCATAATAATTGAATTATTTTTACACGTTTTGATAAAATACTTTACAAAAATTCAATTATTTTCATAAAAAAAGAAAATTCTTTACAAGAATTCAATTATTTTCATAAATAAAGAAAATTCTTTACAAGAATTCAAATATTTTCTAAAATTCAACAATTTTAACTAAATTTCTTAACAGAATCCATTTATTTTAAAAACTTTCAGTTAAATTCTTCGAAATAATTTAATTATTTAAAAAATTTTTCATAAAATCCTGTATCAATAATTTTCTATAAAGTTTTATTTAAATTCCTTTAAAAAATTTAATTATTTTCATAAATAAATAAAATTCTCTACAAAAATTCAAATATTTTCTAAAATTTAACAATTTTAACTAAATTTCTTGACAGAATTCATTTATTTTAAAAACTTTTAATAAATTTCTTCAACAGAATTTAATTATTATCAAAATTAAAATAAAATTCCTCACAGAAATTCAATTACTTTCAATACAATTTTACTAAAATAAAAAATATAACTTTTTTTAAATTTAGTTATTAACGCAAAATTATATGGAAAATAAAATAATTTCCAAATATTTCTATTAAATAATCTTTAAATTTTTCTTGCAAAAATAGTATCACAATACTGATTTTCTAAATCTGAATTAGTAAAATTTTCAACCAATTAGAATAAATGTCTGTTTTTTTGCTTTTGAAATAATTAAAAGTTACTTATAAAATTAATAGATTTTGAAAAATGTTTATTACGTAGTATTTTAGTAATTCGAAAGCAAAAAGTCTGTTACTAATTAAAATTATTATTGATTTTTATTAATTCTGTAGAAGGTGAATCAATAAGTAAAATAACAGTTCAAATTTTTCATAAAATAAATTATGTTGCTACTAATAAATTTTTTGTTTTCAATAAAATAAATATAAAAATTAACGAAAAAGCAAATAAAAACAACTAACATTAAATATAATAATAATAACAATAAATATAAATATTTTTTATTTGTAGAAATAATTGTTTGAAGTAATAAAAAAATGAAAATGCAATTATCTCAATAACCTGCGCCCTGTAGTAAAAAAAACTGACTGTGGATTCGAATTCAGCGTTCAAATTTACCTTTGTTGCTCGGGTCAAAAACCTTGTATTCCTGTGTAATTAATTTAAAAAATTGAGGGTATTTTTAAAAATATTTTTGTTAACTTTTTTAAAGTAACAATATTATTATTATTATTATTATTATTTTTTTTTTGACAAAATTTATGAAAGAGAAGATTAAAATAATTTTTTCTTTTTCACAGTGGATGCTGTTTATGCAATGGCACATGGGATTCATAATCTGATTGAGGACGTGTGTGTCGAAACCGACGAATCCGAACATTATTTATGTGACAGTTTGAAACCAGCACCCCGGGGGCAACAACTTTTGCAATATATTCGTAACGTCACTTTTATAGGTAAGTGAAAACTTTACCCTTAACAAATTGATACATGAACTATATTTTTCTATAATGAAAAATTAATGTCAAAATAGAAAAACCAAAAAAAAAAAAAAAAAGAAATAATTTTTAATAATAATTCAAAATTTCTTTTTTATTTCACAAAAACTAAAAATGAAATTATCCGAAACAAGAAGTTGAAGAAAAATAGAAATTATTCTTTATTGTATTTGAGATAATCGATATCAATTCAGAGGTTAATCAAGGAAAATTCAAACACACATTTTGCTCTTTATCTCGCTTTGATTAATTATCAACGTTCTTCCAACTTTGTTCTGACATAAAGAATGTAGGACCATTAGGAAGAAAAGAAAGGTTCGTTAATTTCGTGCTCTTTTTTCTCTCCCCCTTTTACCCCCTTCTCGTTTTCATTAAACGGTGGTCCAATGTGATCAATATTTAAACACCAGGAGTCTTCTTCTGTCTTCTTCTTCAAGCAATTATTCTTTAATCAATATTGCACTTTACCTTTATTTGCAAAGCAAGAAAAAAAGAAAAGAAAGAATTCTCAATTTCATTAAATATTAGCGTGGTAAATATTACCACTTACCTTTGCAGAACTCTAATTTCATGGAAAGTAAACACAAGAGTCACTGTTCAAGTAAACGTGAACTCTTTGCCTTTTTCCTTTTTTTTATGACAAAAGACGTCGTAAATTATTTCAATGCTAACCTTGATACATAAAAATTTCGTATAATTACCTTTTCTTATCGTAAACATATTTTTCTCTTTTCTTAAATTAAATTTACATTAGGAAAATGAGTCTTTCTTTTTAAATACTACTTGAAATTAATTGCGATTCACTTTTTAGCGGAATTTTAAAATTTACCGTAATTTTAATTTGCATATTTACATTATTATTAACTTTAAATGCCAAAAAGCAAATATTTATAGCATAAAATAGAGAAAACTATTTTTTTGAATTTCAATTTTATTTATTTATTTATCTATTTCTTCATTCATTTATTTATTTACATATAAAAAATTTATCCTTTCATGGATTTCTTTCATTTATTTTGTTTATTATTGTATTTATTATTAATTGCTCACTTATTTATTATCTACTAATTTATTTATTATCTACCAATGTCATATGCTCATGCGTCAAATATGGACTTACATTTTTTTTTCATTATGCAAATTGCAAAATTTTTTACTTTCAAAAATCAACTTCTATATTTGAATAATATTAGATTTAAAATTAAAAGAAAATCACTTACTAACTAATTAACAAATTAATTATTATTAATTATTTTTAAAAAAATTTTCTAATTCATCAGAAATATTCAATTATTCTTAAAAAAAACATAATATTCTCAGCGGGAATTAATTATTTTCAATGCAAATTTAAAATTTTTCAAAAAAATTCAAATATGTTTAAACATTTCAACAAAATTGTCTGAAAAATTCAATTATTTTAATAAATAATAAAATTCTTCGCTGGAATTCAACTTTTTCAATACAATTTCCATGGAATTCGTCGAAAAAATTCAATTATTTTCAAAATTTTCCATAAAACTTGTTTATAAGAATTTAATTATTTTCAAAACAATTTTTATTAAATTCATCAAAAGGATTTAATTACATACAGAAATTTTAATAAAATTCTTCACTAGAATTCAATTATTTCCATAAGGAGGAAAATTCATGAGAGACATTTAATTATATTCATTGCAATTTTCATGAAAATCGTCGAAAAAATTCAATTATTTTCAAAATTTTCCATAAAATTTGTTTTTAAAAGAATTCATTTATTTTCAAAAATTATAATAAAATTCTTCGAACAAATTTAAATATTTTAAAAAAATCCTAATAAAATTCTTTGTCGAAATTAAATTATTTTCAATAGGTACAATTTTAATTGAATTTCTTAAAAGAATTTAATACATACACAGAAATTTTAATAAAATTCTTTACTAGAATTTAATTATTTCCATAAAGAAGAGAAAATTCATGAAAGAAATTTAATTATTTTCATTATAATTTTCATGAAATTTGTCGAAAAAAATTCAATTATTTTCAAAATTTTTCATAAAATTTGTTTTTAAAAGAATTAACAATTATTTTCAAAAATTATAATAAAATTCATCGAACAAAATCAAATATTTTTAAAAAAATTTAATAAAATTCTTGGCCGAAATTAAATTATTTTCAAACTTTTCCATAAAACTTGTTTAAAAGAATTCAATTATTTTCCAAAATTACGATAAAACTTGTTTATAAAAATTCAATTATTTTCAATACAATTTCAATTAAATTTGTCGAAAAAAATTCCATTATTTTCAAAATTTTCCATAAAATTTTCAAAAATTATAATAAAATTCTTCGAAAAAATTCAAATATTTAAAAAAAAATGTAATAAAATTCTCTGCCGAAATTAAATTATTTTGAATACAATTTTAATTAAATTCTTCGAAAGAATTTAATTATATACAAAAATTTTAATAAAATTCTTCACTAGAATTCAATTATTTCCATAAAGAAGAAAATTCATGAGAGACATTTAATTTTTTTCATTACAATTTTCATGAACTTCGTCGAGAAAAATTCATTTATTTTCAAAATTTTTCATAAAACTTGTTTAAAAGAATTAAATTATTTTCAAAAATTATAATAAAATTCTTCGAACAAATTGAAACATTTTATTCAAATTTTTTCAAAAGAATTTACCTAATTATTTTCAAAACAATTTGTTATTAAATTTCTCGACAGAATTTAATTATTTTCCAAATTTTTACTTAAATTTTAAATAAAATCCTAAATTCAAATTAACAATTTGAAATAAAATTAAAAATATTTTTTTAAAAATGAAATATTTCGAATAAAAATATTACACATAGCTGTATCAAAGATAAATCTTTTTTTTCCTTCAATTATTGTTATTTTTTGTTTTTATTACTCTGATAGAAATCAATTAAAAACAAAAGCTTCAATAAAGTAATAGTTTGTAAAAAAAAAAATTTTAATAATTTTTTTCAACAGAAATGTAAAAGTGTGATTTTATAAAAAAGAATAGAGAGCTAAAAATAAATTTGTAATTACCTTTCTATAAATTACAAGCTAACAGTAATCAATGATCATTCAAACTAGAGAAATACGTCCTGAAATGTTTGCTGACTGATAGGTGTGATCAGACATCAAAAGCTTTCAAACATTCTCTCTTTGATTAAAAAAAAACAGTATTTCCACTTTTTTTATGATTACCATTTTTAAAATATTAAATCCAACATTTCTGCTAAAAATCCTCCTACTCTCTTCTAATTCTTACTTTTATTTTTACTATTTTTATTATTATTATTATTATTATTATTATTATTATTATTATTATTATTATTATTATTATTATTATTATTATTATTATTATTATTATTATTATTATTATTATTATTATTATAATATTATTATTATTATTATTATTTTGTTATATTATATTTATTTTATTTTTATATTTATTAACAAAAAAACTACAAAGTAAAAATTTTTTTTTTACAAAATTACATTATATAAAATTAAATACAAAAAAACATAAAGAATTACATCAAAAAAATTTCGGAAATTGCGTATTTTTTGAAAATTTAGTCAACTGGTAAATTAAAGTAAATTGAAAGTAATAAAGAGAAAAAATTGTTAAAGAGGAATAAAAAAAATTTTTGCAATAAAATAGAAGCAATTTTTCTCGAGAAAAAATCATGGAAACTAAATAAATTTCTATATAGTGAGTGGCCATGGTATATTTACGTGTTTCGTTTATCTCGAACGAGGAAAAAGGTCAAATAAAAAAAAAAAAAGAAAAATCAGAGATTTTTCGTACCTTCACTGGCTCGTGTCGAATCGCCAAAAAGCATGTCCTTTACAATAGAGAACAACAAAAAAGAAGAAAAAAAAACACCTCGCTAGTCGTGTTATTATTGTCACTTGGCGCTTTTGCAAAGAAAAATGATGGATTTCGATAGGAAAAATTACGAGCTTTATAGTGTGTCGTCCAATTTCTCTCATACGATGAAATATCATTGTCAAAAGTAACGACTCCTAATCTCACACTTTTTTTCTCTTTCTATTGAATATTTTTCTACGTCATTCATACAAACTTGTCACACTCTATTTATTATTCGTTTCGCATGTAATTTCTCTTTAATAGTTTTCACTTTTTCACCCAGAGAAATAGTCATTTGTCAAATATATCTCTTAGAGACAAACTAAATTTTGTAGATTTTTCAAATGAAAAATTAGTGACACTAAAAAAAATATTTTTCTTTTTTTCTATTATATTAAAATATTATTATTAGCGTATCTATTGTTGTGGGAAAGATATATAGGAAATAAAATTGATTGATAATATATTTCATTGCCTTTTCTGTTTGTTATCTATGAGAAAAAAAATGATTGCGATAATTATTTATTCTTTTTCATTGATAAGACTTTAATCGAGTTCAATTTTCTTCACTAAATTATGGAGGATCAATTTAGTTTCCCAATTTTCCGAGAGGCAATTACTAACGTTTACAACGAGGCACTAAACGAAATCAGGCTAAAATTTCCAAATTTGTGCATTAATACAGAATCCCATGTAACCAATAAGGCTTGATCGTTATCTTTCTCTCTCCCCCCTCCTGGAAAATGAACGTTTTAATTACAATATGTATTAAAATCCGGTGTTAAACCCAATTATTATCAGATTAAAATTTATGAGATATTCTTAAGCCCTTTCCATGTCTCTTAGCTAAATTTACCGCCAAATAAAAACATTTATCGTTTAGAGTCAAATTTATTCTTAATTAATCCGTTTTTTTCATTTTTATTTTATTTTTACTTTCTTTATTTTACTTTACATTTTTTTTTATTTCACTTTATTTTACTCCATTTTAATTTATTTTATTTTACTTCATTTTATTTGACTTTATTTCATTGCAAACTTCGGAAAGTTTTTGAAAAACAAATTTTAAAGAATATTAATTGTA